CAATGAAAAAAAGGAGGAATTAGAATGGAAAACAACTTCTCCATGATTGTAGTATGCACATTTAGTATGGTAAAATACATATCATTTGGCCCTTCTACAGAGAAAAACTCAGTCTGCTCTTGATGTACATTTCTAATCCCATTTCTGCTTTTTGGACTTGTATTCTGTAATTTTGTTAAGGACTGAAGGACTTTACATCATTTGTAATCAAACTCTAAGGTGAAATTTTCTTGAGCAGAAAAAAAATTTAAAATGAGACACAATAAAGAGGTAAACATTTGTAGAAGTGTGTGGAAGGCTATCATCTGTGGAAAGCAGTAATGTCACAGGAATATAACTTCAGAACTTCTCAGTGTCAACTTAATTTTTTTTCCACGGAAGTCAGTGTGGAGCAGCTATGAGGGTTACTCTGTGACAAAATAAAAATGCTGCAGCCTATGAAGATGCAGCCTGTTACATGGCCGCTCATAGTGGTGTGTAAAAGGAGAATGCAAGGTGGAAGACCAGGTAAGACAAAGGATGTATCTCACGGTCTTCTGACTACTCAAAACCATTACCTGCTGGGGTTTCTTACTTTATTTTTGTGATCTTTATGTTGACAGTATAACAAGTCTTGAGGGAAGAGATTCAAACTGGCCAGAACTTGCAAGTTTTATTTTCTTTCCCTGATAGGTGAATTATCCATCATCTTATTCTGACCCTAACTGCTGTGTTTCACTGTTGGCAGAAGGTGTAACACCAGTCGTCTGAAGTGATACTGTCTCTGTTGGAGGTTGTCTGCCCCTCCAGGGCCAGAAGAATTATAGCCAGGCCTCTTCCCTGCTCAGACCGAGCTATAAAGAACTCAGCTGACCCTAGTGGAGGTGCAAAGCCCCATCTGAGTATGGCATAAAGGAGGCAGGCTGGTGTAATAAAGCTTAAGAAGAAGTACTGACCTTCCCTTCAGAGGACAACAGGATGGATGCCTCTGGGGCTGGGAGTCATTATTTTCATTTGGTAGTTTTACATAAGTTTCTCTGTTTGAAAAGTAAAGCTGAGCCAATTTGAGCTTGATGATAAATCCATGAGAAGCATGAGATATCCAGCATGAATAGGAGGAAACTAAGGCAAAGGCTTTTTTAATCCAAGCTGGGCATGTTGTACTACGCTAAGCCTTTTGTCAGGCCTCGCAATAAAAGGTGGGGAAGCTAGTAAGCAACCAAACTAACAATTAAAAAAATACATTGATGTCTCTACTGCTGAGTAATTTTATGCAAGTCTTCCCTGTATAGTCAATAACTAATTACATGAGATGATTATAGTAGTAGCAATTGAGAACTTGGACAAAGAGATGCCAAGATTTAGGTCAAGACATAATTCTGCTAATATGAATTGTATATAAATTATTTAGATCTGGATCCTTGTATATTTGAAAATGTGAATAATGATTGAGCAATGCCATTACAGTTAGTAGTTTTGAGACTGTTCAGAGTTTTTTATCTCCTACATAAATTTTGGGATTTTTGGCTAAATCTCTTCTACCGAAGAATCCTGAAACAAAGCAGGTGAGCATATTTAGGCCAAAAGATGAATCTCAATTAAATAGTATCAATTAAATATCCCAAAGAAGGAAGACTTTTGTTGCTTTACACCTCCTCTGTATCAACTGTTAGTTCCTATTACACATTTATCTGTGTCCTCACTGGGCCTATGAGCTCATTGTTAACTTACTTTGTAAACATCCAAGACAAGTAAGGCTTGGAATGGGAAGAGGACAGTGAATTAACGTGACAGGTATTTATGGGGAACCACTCCCAAACATGAGAGTCAGCATGAGAGGAAGTGTGAATGTTCCACCTTGGAAAATGCAGTGGCTAAGTGATGGCTCAGCGGTTGTTTTGGGCTGAGGGAAGGCAGACTTTTTCGCTGGTTAACATTAAATGACAGGGAGACAGAGATATGCCAAGAAAAGCTGTGAAGATAATTAGCAAACACACTTTTTTTCTTGAACGGGGACAAAGAAGATGATGCGAAAAGTAAAGGGCGGGGAGCTAACCCTTTCAGAAAGTCTCAGGAAGTGTTGTGCTAGTAGACAGTACATAATTGGAACTTGGGAGTTACAGCTCATCAGCTGCCACGAGTTTTTAATATAACAATCATATGTTGATGAACCTGCACAGTAGTAAGATGGAGCATAAGGTGAATGGAGAGATCTGCAGGTGTTCAAAAAACATGTAGATATGGCACTTCATGACATGGTTTAGCAGGCATGGTGGTGTTGGGTTGATGGTTGGACTTGGTGATCTTAGAAGTCTTTTCCAACCTTAATGATTCTATTATTCTATGATTCTATGATCAATACTGCTGCTCAAAACTGAAATACAGTATCTTTTAACCAGAATGTTCCTATTGCGTGATTTTTCAACCCATTTTGCTTAAAAGGTCGATGTCCCATGAGTGATGGTAGCCGTGGCTGTAGCCTTCTTGGTTATGATCTGAAGTGAAAAAACAGATTTTTCCATGTAGCCAATACAGATTCTTCAAAAACCACAGTGAAAAAAATTGCGTAATTGCACCTTGCTTTTGCAGCACAGTTTCTGGTGCAGGAAAGCTGCTGAGGCAGCTAGTGTCTGACAGCTTGTAGATCCTGTTGATCAAGTCAAGGACTGCAGCCAGAATAATTGCTTGAAATTTTCTGGATAAAAAAGTGCCATTGAGGAGTGCTGCCCTGTTCTTTTAAAAGGTTTTTCCTGAGGGGCAGAATTGGAAAAGTCTTGCAGTATAACAGATGCACATTTTCTGATAAATGTCACGGGCTAGTACTGATTCTCCTGAGAAGTCTGTAGTAGTTTTACCACATCACTACTTACAGTTAGCAGTGCTGTATTTTTTAGCTCTAAAAAGTTAATGGAAAAAAAGTAGGATAGGAGGAAAAGAGTGCAGAGAAAGTGTGAAACCTTTTCAGAAATTATTTCCTGCTAAGAAATCTAATGAACTTTATGTGAAGAACTGTAACAGCTAAGCACACCCCACATAATAGGCAAGCTTTGACAGTTCTTCAGGCACTCTTTTTTATTATGATATAGCTGTTGTGTTCCTTAACCAACCAAAAATTATGTTTAGATTTCTCCTCACTACCCTGCTCTTCCTCTTTCCCAAAAAAAAGTAGGTTTTGGGGATCTGGAAATCACCTTTACTCATAAACACAGACTACTGCATATTTTTTAAATCTCTTTAGAGTGAAGAATAAACCCAACAATTTTATTTTAATTTTTAGAGTATTTTTTTCTTTAAAATCAAGTATTACTTATCCAAAGTTTCTAGATATATGCCCTTGGCTTTAGTAGTGGTTTAAGGCTTTTGTTCCAGGCTTCTTGAAGTGTGTATAAGTGCACATTTTTCCATTCTTTTGTATTGGAAAATTAGCTTCAATAATAACATGACATATAGAAAAACACATGGGAAAATATTCTTATTTTTAGAGTGCATGTTGGTGTAGGGTGCACTGCATAATTAAGCATGTGTTAAAATATTGGGGAAAACAACCTGAATCTGAGATGGTGCTAATGATGAAAGGGAGATTAAATCAAAGATTTATACTGCTGGCCTGGAGATGTTTATTAACTCTACAGAAAATATATACAGACTGTTTCAGTATTATAATTTTCATATTATAGCTAGCCAAGAAGCAGTAAGGTATGTGTAGTCCTAAACCCTTCTCCTTGGATTATAAATTACTTCTGTAATGAAAATTTATTCACAATTATATGCTGATAGCAGAGCTGCAGATTACATGTACATCTCTTGAGTAATGAGAACTGCATCTCTTGTGAATGTAGAATACTGATAACAGAATTGAGAATTTGACATGCTGCAGGCAGGGAACACGCAGGCTTTCACCCACAAAATGTATTTTATGCCTGACCTACTGATTGAAGTACAGTTCAAAAATGCAGAAATAAGATTTGATTTAAATTTTTTTAAAAAAAGTAAAAAAATAGGTACAATTTTTATTAGTAACTTTTCTCACGAGGACTGAACCTAGTGAGGATACCTGTTCACAAGCAAGAGTGAAGGAAATAAACTCCCAATAGTCTGAGAAGATGGCTGAAATAAAAATATTTTTTGTGCCCTGAACATATTTCATCCACAGCAGTGTACATATTCTGCACTATCAGTAGTGTTGCATCACTGTAATCAGCCTAAATATCTAATTATAAAAATACTTTGGCATAAGAGAAACTTAAAGAATTTAGCATTGCATTAAATTCATTCAAAAGAATATCTCTGATAAATGTTAGTTCACATAGAAAAGCGTAATAACTAATATATACTTCCAAAAAGGGTTAGAATTGTGAGTTTGAATTGTATGTGAAAAACAGTGGCTTAAGTTGCAAGAATCTGTATGTCTGTACCTGCCTATTTATCTTTCATTATATTCTCACAAGTAGTAGAAGCAACAGGCAGGATTATTGAGTAGACCCTCATAATGTGTCTTTCAAAGAATTCATTCTAGCAGATCAGTAAGATGAAAGCAGTAGTTCTGTTTTGTGGATTTTTTTTTTTTGTAAATGGTGTGAATCTGAGCAATGTTCACTTTTCAACAGAAAATTATATACTAAAATACTTCAGAGCTAAATGTTATTCACTGGTTTTTGAAGTCTTTTTTCAAACCTCTGAAGTGTTTTTAGCCTCTAGCTCTCATTGACTTGGATAAATTCATATTGGAGTTCAGATGCTAATTTATGTGACTGATTTTGAAAACAATTAAATTTAGGTCAAATGTTGTTTCTGTAGGAGCATCTGTTAACGCTGTCATTAACTCTGGGAAATCTTTGTGTTTGTGCTCTCTGTTCTTTAACTGACAATTATTTTTCTCTGACTGAGTCACCTGCCTTCAAGTACGGAGTTGCCAAATAAAGTGCTTTTTTAGGAAGCAAGGATACTTTGCACATGCACTGCAAATAAAATTCTTAAGAAACCTAGCATCTGGTGATGCATTTACTTTTCAATTTTTCCAGGGAAATTCTGGCCTGGGGTTCAGTATTGCTGGAGGAACAGATAACCCACACATTGGGGATGATCCTGGGATATTCATTACTAAGATTATACCAGGAGGAGCTGCAGCAGAGGATGGAAGACTCAGGTAAAAACTGACTCATTATGTATGTCTGGAATCAAAATGCAACATTATTATAAATTATTCTCTAGGAATCAAATGCGAACTGAGTCTTTCATGGCGTCAGGGGAAGTAAATTACATGACTAGAGTCTCCTTTCTGCCAAGGCAGCCGAGCTGATTTAAGTAGCTTTAAGCAATTGAATAAGTTTGGTTGTTCTGTGTAAAGGGACAGTTGCTGGTGCCACCTCCATCATCGTACCAGTCATTTCATTTAGTACAAAAGGCAAGATGGGGACAGGAGGAGGAAACGGGCATATCAGCATGAAAGTCTTCTCTGCTTGGTCTTTGTATGTTCATGGCTGAATAGGTTTATTAAGGCTATTGACTTCCTAAACTACAGAGCCATTGCTAAATAGTCATATCTATTTGTAGATGCTTCATCTAATTTGATTGCAGTAGTGAGGTGTGCTTACCGCAGTTTCCAAAAGTTTCCTTGTTCTGTGAGGATGTGATGACTGTGCTCTATATTTGGAGTCACCTCCAGAGTAGTCTGTTGCTGTAGCTTCTGAGATGGACACACAGGTCAGTTGTTGAGGTTCTCAAATACACGGTAGCACATCTCTTAGACAACAGGAACCACAGAAGTGCTTGTGCTTCTATTTCCTTAGGGACTGAATGCAGAAAGGCTTCCGTCTATCACAGGACCTGCCACCCATCTGTCAGTTGTGAAGCCTCCTGATGCTCCAAAAAGGCAATTTGACTAGGAAGACTTGGGATAAAATTCTGAAGCTTTCATGATCTTAGCACTGGAATCTAAGATCTGAGAGCCTTTGCCAAAAACAGATGGTCTAAAATTAATGGAATGCGACCAGATGGCAACGATAATTTTTCTGCCAAAACCTTTTTCTTTAATTCAAAGTTAAAAGTAGGGTGAGTTGGCCAGTTTTTAGAGCAACTTTTGGATATTTGTTATACTAGGTTAGTAATCTGATTTTGGAAATGATTCTTACTTTTACTGTGACGGTGGTGAGGTGTCATGATGGTTGGCAGTGCCTGAAGAATTTACAGTCTAAAGAAGATCATAGACAAAAGAAGTAGGAATAATCTCACATAACTTTATGACTAGAATTCAGAAATCTACCCCTAAGATAGTCATCTTAGAGTCTACTAATAGTGAAGAAAAACCTAAGCATTTCTAGGTTGTGATTCATCTCATTCTAAAGTCAATGTCTAAAACAGACCAGAAAAATCACATCTTAAAAGGGCCTCTATTTTCAGTGATGACTCAGATGAAAAGGAGTTTCTTCAACTGGTTCATCTGTAGTGATCTATATTTTAAATGTCTGCATTGGGCCAGATGATCTTCATGTAAAACAGAGCACGAGGAAGCAGCAGTGTTTGGAAAGCATGCTATCAGATTTGACATGATGAACAGCATGAGAGTCTTAAACCTGCATCAGCCTTTCTATATATAGGAAAGAGTCTCTTGCAAAAAATAATATCTTTTTGGTAGAGTCTTAAATTATTTTTTAAAGCTTTTCTAGTTTAAGCCATTAAAAAGACAGAAGACATTACAGTACTATGTCATGCTATCTTTGTATGAAATCACGTATTTCGTAACATTGCTGTACAATTAACTACTGTAAACTTAATTCATGATTATTTACTTGTTACTGTGTTGTGAAGGTCATAGAAAGACCTTCTAAACCCACAAAAGATAGCATGCTAATGCAATTCATGAACCCATATCAAGATTATACCTGGCAAACTTTGTGTTCTGTATCAAAAGTTTAGTAGTACAAGTATAGCTATCTTATTACTGAGATAGATAATATTCTTACAGTATTTGTTAGCACATTTTGAATTAAAATGTTATAATTAATAAGCATATGTATGGCATGGTTGTTTTTCCTGTTCTCATTTGTAAACATAGTTTACACCAAACTCCCCTCCTGTTCATACTGAATATCTGGATGCAATTAATTCAGACTGGATCCGTGGGACTTCTTTACTTCAAAGAAAATGGCAAACGCCTTGAAATATGTCTCTGAAACTGCCATTAGAGAAATGGATTGACTTAATCCTATGGGTTTTACACTGAATAATATGAAAATCTCTTTTTTACTACCTGAATATCACAAGGTATGAATTATTATACAGAGTATCTGGAGTTCTGTACGGTCCCCAGTGCTCAAAGGTGGGGGGGGATGGGGGGATGGGACATTCTACCTCTGTTTCCCAGAAGCTTTCCTAAAATTTTGTAGTACATGATAACTTGTGCTGGCTCATCTTTCCCACTATTCCAGTCCAACACAAGCTGCATACTCACACGATGCTTTAATGTTACAGAACAGTAATATTGGGTTTTCAGTATTTTATAGCAAAATGGCAGAAACCATTCAAAAGATCTCACCATGATTTCCAAGAACCAATTCTGTCTGGAATTGAATGTAAATAAGTTTGTAGGTTTTGACGGTGAGATTTTGTTTTATTTCACAATGTTTTTCATAGCGGAAGCTTCCTCCTTTCTTTGTTTTATCTGGTAAATGGATTTCATTTGCTATAATTCTAGCAAAGATACAGTCCTGTCATGTTTTAGCAACACCTGAAAATGTATGTATTCTTGAGCATTACTGATATGCCACTGAAGAGAAGAACTATCCTGAGGCAGTCTCCACTGACTTACATGACAATTAATTATACATAACAGAGAGTTTATCAGCTAAGGCCACTCTGTAGGAACAAAAGCTCAATAACATGCAGTAACATCTGCCAAGAATAGCGATAACCTGTGAACAGGACATTGATGTTTATGGACAGAAAAACTACATGCTTTCCGGCGTCCATTGTAGCCTCGGAGGCTGCCTGCAGATACTCTGCATTATATAGCAGCGTGGACTATTTGAAACAGTTTCTGAATTTACTGTCTCTTTTAAAATCATAAAATCCCCTCTAGTCTGCTCTGGTGAGACCTCACCTGGAGTCCTGCGTCCAGCTCTGGAGCCCCCAGAACAAGGAGGACATGGACCTGTTGGAGAGGTGCCAGAGGAGGGCCACAAAAATGATCTGAGGGCTGGAGCACCTCTCCTAGGAGGAAAGGCTGAGACAGTTGGGGCTGTTCAGCCTGGAGAAGGCTGCAGGCAGACTTTATAGCAGCTTTCCAGTACGTGAAGGGGCCCTATAGGAAAGACGGGGAAAATATTTTTGGTAAGGCCTGCTGTGACAGGACAAGGAGTAATGGCTTTATACTAAGGGAGGGTAGGATTTAGACTAGATATAAGAAATTTTTTACCGTGAGGGTGGTGAAACACTGGAGGAGATTGCCCAGAGAGGCAGTGGAGGCCCCATCCCTGGAAACATTCAAGTCCAGGTTGGATGGGGCTCTGAGCAACCTGGTCTGGTTGAAGATGTCTCTGATCGCTGCAGGGGGTTTGGGCTAGGTGACCTCTAAAGGTCCTTTCCAGCCCAAAGCGTTCTATGATTCTATGATTCTAAGCCTGTGAAATCGTTTTTACTACATGTGACATGAAGTCCCTGTGATCTAACTTAGCTGAGTGAAATTCTTCAAATAATGAGATTGTGAAAGTGACCTGCAAGCAATGGACTTACAGACCCTTGTAAATTTTTTTAGGTGTATGTATAGGTTAACAAGTGGAGTAGTAGGGCAACTGGAGCTTCACATAGGTCCAACAAAACCATGTGCAATCTCCAGCACCTGGGCAGGAGTAACTCTATTGTAGTAGAGAGTGGGGCTTGGCAGGCTAGAAACAGGCTTTGTAGGGAAGAAACTGGGAGTCCCCATGGGCAATTTATAGTTATAAGTACATAAATATCAGCTATAAGTACCTGATGGGAGGGAATGAAGACAAAAGGAGCCAGACTGTTATCAGTAGTGCCCAGTGACAGGGCAAGAAGCAATGGACATGAAACACACGAAATTCCATCTGACTTTTTTACTGTGAGGGTGACTGACTCTGGGCACAGGTTGCCCAGAGAGGTTGTAGAATCTCCATCCTTGGAAATATTCTAATCCTGACCAGACATTCCTGAGCAACCTGTTCTAGCTAATCTTGCTTCAGCCGGGAGGGTTTGATGATCTCAAGAAGTGCTTTCCAGCCTAAACGATACTGTGATTCTGTAATTTGCAGCTGTCAGCAGTGTGCCCTGGCAGTGATGAAGGCCAGCATGGAGGTCAGCAGAGGTGCACAAAGGGAGGACTAGAGGCAACAGTCACATGTTGCAATGAGAGAAATTCCAGTTGGGTCCGAGGAAAAAATAAATCTTTTTAATGAGGGGAGTAAGGCACTATTCCAGTGAGGTTATGGGATCTCTGTCTTCAGAGGGATTCAAAGCTCATTGGAACACAGTCCTGAGCAATGTGATTGAGCTTCCAAATTGGCCCTGCTTTGAGCAGGAGGTTAGACTAGACGAGTTCCAGAGGTCCCTTTCAACCTGAAGTGTTCTCTGGTTCTGGAGATTATTCTTATATATCAAACATGTGAGACTGGAACAAAGGTGATGAAATTCCTGGAGTTTTTGCCTTTAGTGGAGAACAGTACTTCTATTGACAGTAGGTACAATGTGTAGTGTGGGTTTGTATTGCTTTATGGCCCATATCTCTACTTCAAAAATAGTAAAATTTGTCAGCCACTTTAGACTACATTCATTTTAATAAAACATTCCTGGTTTTGAAAGACTTCTTGAACTTTCAAATATTAATCATAGAAGCATAGAATTACAGAATATCTCAAGTTGGAAGGGACCCTTAAGGATTATCAAGTGCAACTCCCTGCTCCTTGCAGGACTACCTAGAACTAAACCATATGACTAAGAGCATTGTCCAGACAGTCCTTGAAATCTGATGGGCTCAGGACTGTGACCACTTCCCTAGGTAACCAGTTCCAGTGGCTGACCACCCTCTCAGTGAAGAACCTTTTCCTAATGTCCCATCTGAACTTCCCCTGACACAGCTTCATTTCCATTTCCAACCACTAAGGTTTCCTTAGTGACCTAACGCTGGTCACT